ATCCGATCAAGTACGTCAAGGGATGGCCGGTGTTGCAGAAGTAATTAGAGGAAGGATATGGACGCCAAGAAGACTATGTATCATAAAAGAGAAATGGGTATAATATGAGCAACCGAATCTATCAATCTTCCTACACTGCATCACCGACTGGACCTACAAAGTTGCAGGGGCAAAAGCGGTGTGATGGCAGCGAGGACTAGCGCCGAATTTCGTTTCTTTTCACCGCTTCCGCGAAATCGACAATATATGGCCAACCATCAACCCATTCTTTCACATACGACCACAGGACACTGAGAATTAGGCTTCCCGTCCGCTCAGCCATATACAAGCAGTGTACCGGCGGATTAGTAGTTAGGTAGGTAACCACTTTTGACTTCTTTTTGCCAATGCAGCATTACCAACACCAGCGCGCTGAAGCAAGAGAGCCTCGCATCTCTTTGCTTGGAGGCAGATCTTTTTGGAGCCCTGAGCCTGATATTGCGATCTAGCTGCTGCAAGTCTTCAGCGGTCCCTGGAAGAGAGACACTGTGTAAGGCTCGCGTGCCGATACCTTCTCTACGACTAACAACATCGCATTCTGTTTCTTTTTGACCGCTAGCAATTTTGCGATTCTTCTCCCCTGTCGCAAAGTCATGTAGACGAATCAGATGTCTTGCTTCTGCGGAACCCAAAGGATTTCCCTTTTCCAGGAGTCGCAGCTTTCTTGGTATTAAACAAATCATCCGCAATCTCTCTCGCTTCTGACCCAAGACCGTCCTTGCGCCTTTTGTAGAGCTCGGGCGGGAAGACAAACTTGTTGCGATGAGTTCGGATGCAGTCAAGGGCTGCGGCCTTACCCGAATCCAGTGCGAGATCGAGCGCAGTTCGTCGTTTACACGACAGGTTCGTGATCTCGAGCGACGCCTTTTCAAGAAGGACATCGAGGGTCTCATAGGCGTTGTTCAACAAAGCCACATGAATGGGGTATCTCCCTGCGCGAGGGCACAGCTGGCCTAATATCTCAGGGGTTTGTTCGAGCTGGAATCGCACGTTGGGTGCATTGTTTAGCTCAATGGCGGAGCAAAGTTCTTCTTGCATCTGGGCATTTTGCTCCTGAGTAAGGCCTCCTTGTGGCGCTCCATTTCCAGTCGGTTCCTGATTCGGATCATGATGCGTGGTCACTATTGGGCCTTGCGGTTGCTCAACGGTGCTGCTTCGTGCAGGATCCAGATCTGCCAAAGCATCCGGATAGACATAGGGATCAGATGCGGTATCGTACTTTTCCCACTCTTGCTGAATGTAGGCAAGTCTGTCGCGCAACTCAGATGCTCCCATTCGTCTGCTACGATCGATCAGAAGAACCTTACCGATAATCACATTGAGTATATATAGCACGAACCTTTGCTCGGTTCGATATGCGTAGGAGTCCTCGACTAGCAGGTTGGACCAGTCGATGAGACTGGGGTGTAGAGCGGCACGAAGCGGTCCTGCTGTGTGAGGTATCACATCCACGTCCTGATCCCGACTTTGTAGATAGCGATAGATGTGTGAATCTCGGTGTCCCCATGGGTACGAGTCGCTTCTTATGTAAAACAAAGGCTCCCTGCCGCCGAGATTCTGGAATCTGACCATCAGGCAACTTTCCAAGTCTGTGACTTCCTTTGGTCCACCATATATGAACGCAAGTACCGTGAGCGTGATACAGCCTATGGACCAGACATCGCTACCCCGACCCGCTTGACTAATTTCTTGTTCTTGGATTTCCGGGGCTTGATATAGACCGGTCGGTCTTGTTGCAGGCAGAGTGGATCCTCGAGAAGTCGCTGTCGAGGTCTGTGTAGATCCAGCTTTTGGCTTTTTCGCAGCCTTCTTGCGAGCTAAGCCAAAATCGCTGAGCTTCCAGATCAGTTCATACTGCTCTTCGTCTCCGGAACCAGAACGAGTCTCGAAGATCAGGATGTTGTCAGGTTTGATGTCGAGATGGAGAGTTTCGAGCTTATCATGCAAGCATTCTAAGGCTTCGACAATGTCCACAAGGCTAGCAAGCAAACGAGACGGTATGACGGACTCCTGAGGGTGATTCCTGTCTTTGAGGAGATCACCCAGACTGAAACTTGCCAGTTCGAAGATGATAGAGTGTCTGATCGGCCTTCCTGTCCCGTCGAGCTCCGTAATACTACCCAAATGCAGCATTATCATTTTGTGCTTAGTCTTGTACGTTCTGAGTTCTTCCAAGATGCCGAGCTCAATCTTGAAGTCCTGAGTGGCCTCCGGCATATCGCGCATAGGTTCCAGATCTTTGAAGACTTTGAGAGCCACGAGTTTCGTGCTATTCGGATTACCAGGTATGAAATCGGAGTTTTCTTGGTCATCGTTCTCTCGGATCTCCCAGTGGCATTGTGCTATCTCAGCTTTGATCACTTGGCCTTGAGAGCCGCTCTTGATGGGATGATACCTGCCCATGAAAGGTAAGCGTTCGCTGGTGGTGATGTCATGATGCTCCAGCTTCTTGATCATAATCGGTTTGAATAATGCTTGATCCAGAAGTATGAGTCTGTGGCACCAGTTTGGAACTTTGTATTCTTGGAGCGTGGCCTTCGTGAACGGTATCGATTCATCAGACGGTATAAGATTGTCAGACTTGGCTGTAGGATGATCGAACATAATGACCATCCATTCCACGAATAACGAGAGCAATTCGTTGTTGTTTTGGTACAAAAGCAGAGCAAGTAGAGCTCTCCAGGATGATTCATCCGGTAGTTTGCGCTTCGTTGCGTCAATGCAACTATTGATGAACACCTGCATGTCGTCATTTACAGAATCTGAGCCCTTCTCTTCATCAGCAGTACTGGTAGCACTAGCTTGTAAGAACACGCCACCTCCGAAGGAAGAAGTCTCAGTGACCAACTCTGTGAACAAGAGCTCCAACGACCTATCGTTGAGTATCTGGTCAAGGTCGGGTTTCGGCAAGAAGGCGCTGCGCTGCACATCATCTGCTGAGATGTCCTTGGTAGTACGTTCGACAGCGTCTTGTAATTTCTGGGCCAGCTCCTCACACTGGACTTTGCGTGGTATGGACACGCTGGTCCGCGACGTTGAGAAACTGGGCCTGGTGCTCATCGAACCGGCCTGTCCAGCAAGTCGACTATCAAACATTCTTCGATTGTAGCACGCGACGGGACCCGCGCCGGAATGCAGGAAAGATGCGCTTGGTGGAACCGGCCATGCGCGATGGTCCCTGCAACGCAGAGAGAGGCCACAATAAACTCGTTAGCTTGTTACTAGACGGGAGCCACTGGCAGCGAAGTTGGGGTATGATTTAGGACGTAGCAGAACTATGGGGCAGCGATGCAGCAAGACGCTGCTGGGCTGTAGGCAACATCGCCCATGTGAACGGCGTCATCCCTTCGTCGCCAAGGGGCCGCGTTGCGCGGGGCCCCGCCGCCCGCGTGTCGCCAGGCTCGCCACTTCTAAGGCTCGATCCGCAGCAACGTGGCGTCGCGGCAGGCAAGACACCTGGGCACAGCATGTACTATCCCACCTTCGAATACCCGCCTGCCCAGCCGCAGGCGGGCATTTTGACATCATTATACCGGCGTATAGATCATGAGCAGGACTCACCTATGTATGCAGGTGGGCTTGCGCCAGCGCAGACATCCCTCGGCTTAATCGAGATCGAATCGATCTTACCTCAGCCTTGTACATACAGCAGGTTATAAAGTCCTCCAGCGGCAGGCAGATGCTATCCTGCCCTGTCTCAGCTTCGCCACCACCAAGCCATGATACAGCAGCAAGCCCTCCAACGGTATTACAGCCGTGACAAGCTACAAAGGTTCCTCAAAAACAAGTTCGGTGATAATATCAATTTCAACATCCAACGAGCTGGAGAGGAATATTTAACGTTTGAGGCTCCTAAGCTTTTGACGGCGGTAAGTCGCCCAGAACGGCTCACAACGCTACCTAGGTATGCTGACATCATTAGGATGACTGGAGGTAATACAATGCGTCCATTGCTTTCGCGACCGGTGAACGCTAACGAGAGGCATTCTGGCAGTGATGCAAAAGACTGAGGCGCTGTGCCTGTCAGCCCGTTGAGGCAGTGCGGGGCTCCCGCAGGATTGGATAAAGTCATTTCGCATCTTTGGGAAGGCTAGGACCGAACACATACTTGTTGTACACATCACGTAGTTTCTCTGCGCAAAGCCTTGCCTCGCCCTGCAATCTACGATTCCGATATGTCTTCTAGCACTCAGCAGGACGACAACAGCGCAAATGACCTTGAAGCACTCGTCTTTTCAACATCACAGATACAGACCCGCATTCTCGGCTGCCACCAGTTATTCTCGAAGCGCAAGGACAGCCACTTGCTCGAGGTAACTCGCTTCGCATGTGACGTGTCGCATACTCCATCTACTCATAGCTTTACTAGCTCTTCGCAACTGTCGGCTTACTTTGATGATGGCGCGAACGGTCCATTTGGGCAGGGTAGTGTTTTGGAGATATAGTGAGTGGGTTCAAGTCGTTTCGACTTCAGACTGATGATGTTGGTAGTGAGGTTCACCAGAAAGACACATTCGCGCCTCTCGGCGTTAGCAGCGACATGATATCTCTTCTCATGGATCATTACCACCTCAGCCCTGGGTTTCTTCAGATATTGGGGTGTTTCAAAGATCGGTACCTGCCCACGGAAGAGGGGTTTTCGAGCGCGTCGCAATCAAATTTCAATGGAAATCGCTATGGTATGTCAACCCTCATCGACATCCAAATGTGAGGTCGTAACAAATTTTGTAGAGTTTGGTTGGGTATACAAGTACTCTGAAATGAAAGCCGTAAAAACAGGAAGCCCATGGCGCATTCGACAAACAGGAATTTACCATCTTGTCGAGCGGAAGCGGGGAAGATCGGTTGTGTTCATTATACATCCAAGCCCGGTTGCTCACTTCAAGGGCTACCTTCACCAGGTGCTACAACAACCACAAGCCAGACTTAGGCTACTGTCAACCCCTATGGTGATCCACTCAATGCTGATATCCACACATCTCAGCTCCTGGCGTGACTATCTTGAGTACCACGAGGCTAAGCTTCTTCATCTAGTGAGTCCTCCCGTCGATAATAAGAATATTTTGAAATATCCACTGACCGATACAAAGGATATGAAGCCAGCCTGCACGTCGCTTACACAGTCCTTGGTTACATTCGAAACTCTGAAAGAAGTCCGTGCGATTGAGAAGAACATCTTGCCGCTAGAGCCCATCCTAGCATCATTCGAAAGGTTGACGAGAGATCTCGAAGAAGCCAACAATGTCTTCTCTGGAGCGAGCAAAGGAAGAGATGACACTGCCGTAGTCATAAGAGCGGCACTCACCCAGTTTCGCAAGGATGCCACATCATACAGAGGTCAGGTTCTATACATGAACAAGCGAGCCCAGTCAACTACTCAGTCGATGCTGGATACACTGAACCTGAGTCAGAGCAAGAACACGTTCGACATGGGCAGATCGGCACGAGAGGACTCTGTCGCAATCAGAGCGATCACCCTGGTCACGTCATTTTACCTCCCGTTTTCATTCGTTGCGGTAAGTGTTCCATGGCAGCTATAAAGACTGAATACAGCTGAAGACTTGCAGACCATGTTTGGCATGAACCTCGTCGATTTCGACTCGGAGTCTCGCAACCTTGTGCTCTCGAAACAGCTCTGGCTTTATTTCGTCATATCAGTTCCTTTGACTGCTTTGACGCTGGCTTGTTGGAAGTGGAGAATGCGGATGTATCGCGATGGCGACATGGATGAGGAGGGAGGGTCGACAGTAAAGGTGGGGCCGCGGAAGAGTAATTCAGATATTGAAATGGGTCAGTATTGAAACACGATGATTTGGGAACTTCATTGCACCAGGTTTTGCCGCCATCGCAACGACGCCTACGAAATATGATGTGGAACCATTTCAGCCCAAGTTCGTGCGTGTCTATAGGTTGCAGGGCGCCGTGCTTCAATCGCAACGATCGGTTTCTCTGTCGCTCGGTATCTCATCTACCTCGTCTTCGCTCGAGCATGAAGAGTCCGGAGGACCGGGATGAGTGGTTTTCGATCGTTGTGCGCGCCTTTTCTTCTCCCACTCCTTCCTTGGCGATCCAAGTCTCTCCGGATAGCCACACTCTTTCCAATCCCTGGAGGTCAATCGCAAGCACCACTCTACTGGTTGGGTGAATCTACGCGATATCGTTTTCAGAGTATAGATGAACATGAATCTGGTGGTGATATCGAGCTGCTCGAACACTTCCTCCAGGTCCTCTTTCCCGGTACTGGGAACGAGCCAAAAACAAAGAAACCACGCGAGAAGGTTGGTACCTGCAAACAACAAAAGCACGCCGAACTGACCAAGCGTATCCAGCAGCCATGGGGCTAAGACAGCAAGGAGTCCGGCTCCCATAAAGTTCCAACAGACAGCGAGGCTCATGCCGAGTTCTCGATTGACGAGGGGAAAGACTTCTGCTGAGATGACGAAAGCTGCTGGACCCTCGCCGACCGAATACGCAATTATGAACACGACCAAGAAGATGTAGTGTCCAGCGATGTACCCATCCTTTGGCTGGTTGGGAATCTTTGGGATTACGGCAGACATTAGCAAAGCCCCGGCCATTACTGGGAATGTCCAGTTCAAGACACGTCTCCGTCCGTCGGTAATGTCGATAACGAATAGGGCAGGAATTGTAGCTATAAAGTTGAGGAGCATGAACCCAAGCGAAGCGCCCAGTAGCGTCATGTTCCGGTCTGTGTCGCATTCGGGATTGTCGCCGAAGAAGGAGTATTTGAAGAAGTGGTCGGACATGAAAGCTATCAAGTTGATACCGCACAGTTGTTGTGATATCATTACAGCAGCTGCAGCTCGATGCGCTCTATTCGTATATCCGGAGCGGAAGAAAATTAACGTGACTCTTTCTCGCCAGCTGATGTGTTGAATAACATCACGGAAGGGACTCTTCGCATTAGTAGTTCGACTGGCCGCACTGGTCGTGTAGGAACGACCATCTAATGCTGCCTTCAGCCGACGCTGCTCGTCGATGAGGCGCGTGTGCATTAGGAACAGTTCGCCGGCGGCAAGTATGGGAACAACTTCGCCTCGAAGATCGACTAGAGACTTGTAGGCCTTCCGAATCTTGACTCCCCTGCGTGGATCGTTCTTCGACAGCTTCCCATACTGGGAAAGATTCCCTACGCTACCGCTTTCCTTCAACAGCCATCGAGGGGATTCTGCACAGAGGTTTAGCATTCAAGAACTGGGACCCTTGAGCCACATGAACCGCTTACCAGGTGAGAAGAGAATCAATGATAGCAAGAGTAATGCGGGGATGAAAGCGGAGATGAACATGTAGCGCCAACTTGAATGCACGTCAAGGCGATATACGGCCATATTTGCAACAGATCCGGCGGCCAGCCCGAATGCCACGAAAAGTTGCCAAAAGACCAGTAGGAAGCCGCGCACATCTTTGGGCGAGGTTTCAGACAGCAGGATAGGAACGATTGAAGCTTTGCCTGCCATGCCAGCACCTAATAATATTCTGAACACGAGAAGATGCTCCCATTTGTGGACCGAAGCTGAGCCCACGACCGATATGAAGCTGAATATGCCCGCAACACATATAGCGCCGCGACGGCCAAAGGGGAGTCTGTTGATTGGGTCGGTGATGATTAGACCTAGTATCGCACCAGCGAAAAACGGTACGCCGATTGTGACCCCGAGTAGCCAGGCACTGCGGTCGGTCTTGACATCGAGGGTGCTGTCTGTCCGTCTCGTGATACCGGTGCTGGTAGCTCCGGCGCAAGATTTATCCGAGTCGTCTATACCCAAGGCTTTCATTACTTCGATACTAGCTCCTCCAGATTGTCAGTCAAAAGAGATGACTGCTTCTTTCGGATTATCTTACCGGCCATAGCAGCTTGATCCCAACCTCTGGAGAAACGTCAGCCACGAATCGCATGCGCTAAGCATAAGCACTCACTGTGTCATTGCCGCAAAGATGCAAGCGACGATCAACAGCCAATGTAACCTCGATAGATTTCTCAGTGTTTCCCACCTACTCTGTGGCAGAAAAGCCCTGTATAAAACCTCGCTTTCCAGTCGTGTATATTTGTGCTCGCCGACGCGTAACTCGATGGGTCTGTGCGGTTCATTGGGGTTATCTGAACGCCAATCTTGGATGGCCTCGAACTCGACTTTGATATCAACTTGCGATCGGAGGGCGAGGACACCGCGGACAATCACATCCCGCTCGACTGGTATACGATATTTCTTGTGGAATCTTTGGGCTTCTACCTGTGTAACGCCATTGAGTGGATTATCCGCTGCAAGACTGTGGAGCATGATTAGAGACGATCTCAACGCATCATGAACAACATCATACCTGGGGTTGTCTTCAACCATAGGCCTGTGTGCGGATGCTACCGATCGAGTGGCCATACTCGTAGGCGTAGCCATTCTTGTCGGGTACTAACAGATAATGGAGTGGAGCAGCACGCAACGTGCAACGTACAACGATCAAGGGTGGGGAAAAGGTAACATGGCTTGTACCTGGAAACACGTCATATATGTCCGCAGCCTATATCGAAAACTTGCCAAAGCTGACGAAGAGAAAGAAGGCAACAAGGCGCCATGAGCCACCTGGACGGCATTCGTTGCCACGCATGAGCAGTAAGTATGCCGCGCCGTAATGTGGAGGTTTACGGCGTCCATACAGCCACTAGCGACGCTGCTAGCGAACTCAGCCTGGCTGTTGTGCGACACGAGGGCGTGGAGGTCGCGTCTACGGCCTAGGCAAAAGGTCCTCCTGTTCTCACCGGTCATCCAACCACCGCGATGAGAAGCACAGCGACAGACATTTAGTTTAGTAACACTTTGTAATTGATAAGCGGACTCTTAGATCATCGAGAAGTAGGTAGATGAAGTTGTCGATATGAGAATTTGAAGGTGGTCGAAGATGATGTTGCCGCGATGGCCCAAGTAGGACGCGCTGATGGGGACGCGGCTCTAATGGCCCCCGCCCCCCAATATTTCGCGCTTATGCCAAGCCCAGTCCTCCCTTCCCAACTACCGAATCTCCGATGTAGTAAACTTTCTTTTTGCACGCCCAGGGCCGCGCTGATCAAGATCGAAATGGCACTCTTGCACGCCGCTTCTCTCTATTCCGGCTGATGATAAACTAGCAGAATCTTTGGCTCGTTGCCAGTACAGTTTTCAGGCGAGATTGTATGCTGATGATGCGAGTTGAACACCCTCAAGAGCACGTGACGCGGCATGACGAATGCGCTGCACTTCTCAACAGAGGGAAGAGCTTCCCTTGCATGTTTCGCTGTTGCCTCCTGTTGAAGTCAAATTTGACCTTGATCCATAACAGCGCTACCAGCCAGAGTCTGACGGAAAGGCCTCCTCGCCAATAACCCCTGGCGTCACGTTGTTTGCTAGCTCCTGAGGCCAGCGAGGCCAAATAGCCCGATTCTATTGCTACTACGGCTCGTGCCGAATACCGCGAGGTTCTGGCTTGCATGATGGCTCAGATTATCCTTTGAGCGATGGTACGAGAGGTAGGCTCGGTGATTGACGGATCGCGGAACTGTCAATGTTGTTGTCGTTATTCTCGAACGTGAGCTTTGTCGACAGGTCCAACGCTGGTCTAGAGGATGCCCAGGTGACCTCCAAGCTCCAACATGTTGCTGCTGTCGCAGTCGTCGGAAACCTTCGCCCTTGCATCTAGCGCTCGAAAGGGTCTCTCTTTGGTCAGATTGCTGCTGGTACCCAACGTCAGATCCCTAGAAGGGACTACACGATCGCGTACTGCCTGCCACCCTCCGCAGCAAAGTCTATCCAAGTCGCCGACTCGCTGTCCGCATATGGAAAATCCAAGATTTCGTCGCCATACCCCGGTACGTAAGCGACATTGATCATTTCATACGACTGAGTTCCTGGTATTGGTGCCAAGATGAAAGGAACTTCTGTCCCAAATAAACAAACCAGTATAGCGCCGTCGGGTACAAGTCGGCAATCGTGATGCCATGAGACCCCTAAGTGTCCTTCTTCAGTGACAAAGATATCACGGCCTCCGAAGTGTCTCGTGTCGAGTATGGAGTGAAAACCATGGGGAGTTGACGAAAGAGGTGGGAGGTCTACGCGGAAGGCATCTCTATCCCCAAGTAGAAGGCTGGTGAAGTGATCAAGATCCCCGTCTGTGATATCTCTTAGTCGAAGTACTTGTAGGAAGGTACGCGGCAATATGCCACGAGGCTCCAGGATGCCATGGTAGAAGTCGTACATCTCAACATTTGGTGTCCGGACTCGAAATCCGGTGTCACAGTGCTCACTTGACCACGAAGAATTTTGTGTTCTACAGACAGTACCAACATACCGACCATGAGCATAAAGCGTCTTATGATCCGTTGATAAATGTATCGAGCCTTGCCGCTTCTCCCGCTCTTGTATGTCCAGTTGCGAGTTGCACACCAGATCAAGATTAGCCGGCGTAGGGATCGAGGTGAAATCCAGCAACCAAGACGATTTACTCCAATGAGTCCGATGAAATATTCCAGTGGGTTGTGTGTCTTCATCAAGATAGGGAAACGCAGATTCTTCCAATATCGAGATGACTGTAGCCTCAGCCAATAGATGCCGCAGGGGTTTCGAGTAATCAACTGCTATTGTTTTGGTAAGCTGGAAGTCGCATAGTCCCATGAGTCCATAGATTTTATCGCGCGGGTCTGCAGAAATCGCGCTCTGTGATGCGATCAGGCACCAATACAAGCTTCTGTGGCTGTCGGGGCGTGATCTGATATCTGTCAACGCCAAAATGCGTAGCGTAGCGTACTCAAACCGATCACAAAGCTGAGAATCGTACGACGGTAGCTTTGACCATCTTGAAAGAAGTATATTGGAAACAGATAACGAGAAGGCCGACCAAGTTGTGCACACGCTCCCGATCCGCACAATTGGGTCTCTTTTGGCTAATGCCAGCTCTTGGATGACCCAAAGGCGACGAAACCAGGGAAGCTCCATGATATCCACGAAATGCTGAAAGATATGGTAATTTTCAACCATATCGTACTCAAAACTGGGTGGCCTTCCGTTCCCCTCTTCTAGTAGCATCTTCTTCCAGATCGCTTGGCATCTTTCAAGTTGCAAACACGCCCTTTTCGGCCACTCGCCAAGCCAAATCAAGATCTTTTCCGCAGATTTATAGATCATAGCCATATGCTGAACCTGATGAGACCTTTCCTCAACGTCTCGCTGACTGATGCACAGTGCGTCAACCCAAAGCATCCGCGGTTTACCGTCGAACCGAAGACGCCTCAGCCCTTGATCGAGGCTTTCGGTAACACACAGCTCGATCCCGTCAAGTAGGACTTTTCGAGGGCTAATCGCCTTCCCCCACGCATACGAGAGCGCTTCGTATTCGAATTCGCAGTAGAGGGCAGGCTCGTACCAGTGCTCATCGTCTGATTTCTCCTGATGCGAGTTTGCCAGGTCTGACATGTTCTCATCTGATCCCTCATCTGTTACCCGCTGTTCCAGCTTGACGGTGTGTAGCGTCAGGTCAATCGGATCATCGTATCCACCTGGCAACAACTTGACCAAGCGAATCTCTCCGGCATCTGAATCGATGGGCTGATATGGCGATCTTTCTGAACCGGTGGGAAGTGGTGCTTGGAGGGCTTCCATCGAGCCCCGCCAATGGTGCAACGCGGTTGCCTAAAGCGTTCGGGGATTCCGTGTCGCGATCGACCAACGATCGTTTCGATGTATATTCGGTACGGTCAATGCATGTGAGTACAGTTGCTAGGGAGGTGTAGGTGCAGTGAAATGTTTGGTAAGAGAAGTGAGATGCGACGAAGCGAAGCGGGGAAGGAGCGATTGGATAGGTTTAGGCAGCCACACGAGGCTGATGACTAAGTCCAGCCAACACGCATCTTCGGTGAACGAAGTAAAAGCCATACTCCTCAGAGGGAATTCTGTCTATATCTAGGTTTATTTGCTGAAATAGAGTAAATGTAACCCATATACCAACCCAATAATTCTCAAGCGGGCAGCAAGAAACAATTTGTGTAGTTGGATAGAGTTACAACCTGTGCGCCCATAACCTATGATATATACATAACGAAATTCTTCGGGCACATTCAGCTTGTGCACCGTACGTCTTTCTCCCTTCCCCTCAGCTTCCAGCGCGTGATCACCAGCCACAACCCGCAAAACCCCCTCACTGCAACAGAGAAAAGCCAGTACCCTGACCCGCAGCCTCCATCAGCGCACGAGTGAACTTAGTACGCTCGCTAGTCTGCATAACAGTCGGGCGGCGAGTCCAGCCAATCTCAGTAGGCATACGCTCGTTTCCTGCATCGAATGCGTTAGCCACTACTGTCCATTCATCCTCTCAAAAGATAAAGGTTGAAACTTACGCAGCCAGTACTCAATAAAGTCCTTCCTAACAGTGCTCGTAGTACCATCCGCCATAATCTCAAAGAACGAAGCGCATTCACCCCAACTAAACCCATCCGCCAACAAAGACGCCTTGTGCTCCGGGTTAGTCTTCTTAGATGTATCGAGGCGTGCCATGCGGGCGTCAGCGAGCTGCTGAACGGTGATCTCTGGTGTTGTGAAGAAAGATGCTGTTTCAGCCCAGACAGTTTCGTTGAAGGGGAGGGGGTTGGCGAAGAAGCGGTCTGAGCGACTCAGGCTGAAGTCGTGCTCCAGCACGCCCTCACGGCCCAGCGTGTCAAGATCGAATGTACGTGCGAAAGGCTCTGGGTTGGTGCGTACGGCTTGCGAGAAGAGGATGATGGCGTCGCTTTTGGCGATGTTGAAGCCTTCGAGCATGGCGTCGGCGAGGATGTCGCGGGTGATTCTTCGTCCGTCGTGCGGCAAGTAGCCGTGGTTGGCAAGGGTGTTCATGCCGGGGCATGGACCGCGTGCTGTTGAGTCACTGATTAGTGTGATGTTCCTATCACGACCAGAGATGTCTGTTTAGATGTTGCAACTAACCATCGGTAGGACCTGGAGCTGTCCAGTTCCTGGGCACCCAGGCCTGGCGAGCGACATAGGTCGGGAAAGCCGAGGCTGACGCAAAGATAGCGAGAAAGCTGATAGTAGATGAGACCTTCATGGTGGTTCTAAATGAGAGAACGGGCAGAGTAATGATGAGAATGGATCTCAAAAATGAATGTTAACGAAAGGATGTGAAGGTACGACTGTCAATGAGTGATTCGCTTGAAGTGATCTCTGCTGGTGTCTATAAACTCTTTGAGCATTCAGATTATATATCGACCTGCTTCGAGTGACAGCTACACATCGTTGTCAGGCGTGAAACTCGTCAATGGCATCGCCAGCCCTCGGCCCCAACATCTAAAGGACGTTGCACCACGCCATTTGCGGTGCCTCGGCTCGCAAAGTCGACGAAGAGATGCGATACGTGAACTTTTTGGCGATTCTCTGGGATGTGCTTGATGGATTCGTGATGGGGAGAGGTAAAAGAAACACTCGAGGACTTGGCGGTTCGGAATAAACAACCGACAAGCCACAACTCATTTCGCGTCCGTTACAACGATCTCGGCGTACGTAGGGAAGTGGATCGCATCCTATCACATCGCGATGCGCCGGTGACGTTCCTCGGTTCGAAAGGACGGACCCATAAGTATTGGGATGGGAATGGACGTATGGGATTCTTCCTAGTAGGCCATCTTCTAGGGATATTGGACATGGTGGTGCGCAGCGTCCGAAACTCTCTCTACCATACAACAAAAGCCTTGGAAGTGGTAAGAGATACCGGGTTCGACAAGTTAGATATATTCTACCGCAACACAGGCTATAGAAAAGGCGGTTCAGATTGCAAATCGCCGCGATAATCCACGTGGTCGTTGTTGATAATCGTGAGACGGCTAGCATGATCGGGATGCTCTCTACCAGGTCAGCTGACGATGGCTCTGAACAGAAACAGTGTTAGGCCGACCATGGCATTTGCGGTAGGCCGTCCTGAATATTACCAGCTGGTCGGTCGTGTTCCTCTCGATCTGAGGGTCGCGATTTCACCTCAGACTGGCACGAAACACCACCCCCACAAATTTAGGCCTCGGCAGTTTCGAGACATACCATATTCTCCTATGCTTTTTATCCAGTCCAATGAAAGACTCGATTTATTTGGCAATGACCGTGATGATCGCTTCGGACACCTGCTTGCGCGTAAAGAGCTAAGATTGTGGCACATGCATCGCTCAGACCCGACACCGAGATACAGGACTGGGTGCGATACAAGAAAGTATACCGCAGTAAGGGCAGCGCGATCTCAGCAAGATTGAGTCTGACATCACTGTAAGCACTTCTTTGCGCCTATGAAGATGAAGAAGTTCCAGGGCCGTGTGTATTCAAGATGCACCAAACCATCTGGAATCGTTGTATCGAAACGAAAACTCGTGAGTGGTATTCAAACAGTGTTGTACAGGTTGTTCGCGGTTGTATGGGAGATCGACTGTGTCGACAAATGGGCGTGTTTATCTCGGGTGCGTAGCGTTTAGTCTTGCGAGGGCTTCGGTTGTTCGGGCTGCTCGGCGAGACGATTGTCGCCCTTGGGCTTCGATTCGGTGTGGAATTGTGCGGACCTAGGTGTGGTGCTGCCGTCGTCCCAGAATTCAACGTCGCCTTCTGCGCTTAGAGAACCTCTCTTGACTAGGCTGCCTTTCTCCCGCATGAGGTCCTCGATGGTGACGGACTTGTCTGAGAATACCTGAAAACTATTAACCTCAAGTCATGCCAACTCTCCAGCGGTCATACCTTGAGGTGGTCTGCAATGAGATGCCGATTCTTGCAGCCCGGACATTGGATCAAGACAGTCCCATGATGGTAGCCTTGCTTCGAAAGTCGATGTGAAGAGCGTGTCTTGCAAACGTTGCAGGTAAATGTGAGCTCGTATGACGGGACTTGTTCGCGCTCTAGTCGTGAGTCTGGCGCATCTGTTGACGTGGGAGGAGCCGCGCTTGACTCAAAGCGGACAGTAGAAGGTAATCGCGCACGTGATAGTATGAGTGAAGGTCGTATGGCAGCTGACGTTCGCGGTGTGTGGAAGAGGCGCTTTGCGGGCGCAGGAATGCGCTCAGCGTTGGGGATTCGAGCAGTTCGGGGCGCAGTGCTTCGGGCGATGCCGCGCAACAAAGAGGTGGAGGAGCGCATGACGATATGACACAAACTGACACGACTCAAAGATGGTGAAAGAATGAGTTGGCGACTGTGAAACGGCGTGTGAGGTATGACGAACGGAAGTGCAGCGGGCAAAGAATAATCGACCGAGCGCCAAGCCATGACGACGGCGAGCTCGTGCAGCGGGGACCCTCGCCCGCAACACGCCCGGCACCTGAACTTCACCATCACTCGCGTCTGCCGTCACGCGTGCCATTCCTTCACTGTCACCCTCGCCGTGCTGCGTACTAGCCCCCAAATGTTCCTTTGAACCATCGGCCTCTTCCTTACACCCACGCCACACCGGGCATCTGCACCACCAGCCTACCTCCGCCTGCGACCGCACCGAGCTTCGAAGCTCTAGATATCACACGATCAGAAGAAGGCAGGAGCGAAGATGATCGCAGGACGAGGAAGACAGCGGATACGGCCGCCAAGGAGGGTACGTACTGCGCGCTCACTTTCACCTTCACTTTCACTTTCCTCGCGTGCTAGCCTACGCCGCTCAACCTCGCTGTCATAAGAAAAGACTCCATGCTGTAGACTCAACACTAACAATGGCGCGTTCGCAGGGTCTGCACGGCGACGAAGTAGATTTCGAGAACACGTGGGCCACCATCGAGGCGGCCTTTAGGGAAATCCACACAAAGAATGCGTCCAAGCTATCATACGAGGAGCTTTACCGCCACGCATACCGAATCGTTTTGAAGAAGAAAGGCGAGGCTCTCTACGAGAAAGTTCACGAATTCGAGCGAAATTGGTTGAGCACCGAAGTCCGAGCCTCAATCTCGCAATTGCTCTCAACGAACCTACTTGTAGACGCGCAGAGTATCGGCGGAACTACACCAAATGAGCGACGTGTAGCGGGCGAGAGGTTTCTGAAAGGGCTGAAGCAGGCATGGAGCGATCACCAGATCTGCACCAGCATGCTGGCAGACGTGCTCATGTACATGGTAAGATGATATCTGGACGGACTGAGCTGAGGATGTTAGCTAACACGGCCTGCTTAGGACCGTGTCTACTGTGCTGACCATCGCCGCCCATCAATTTACAACGCCGCCATGGTTCTGTTCCGCGACGAAATCCTCAATTCCAAGATATCCCCGACCGACGCTCGAGCGATCCTCAACCTCTTGAACAACATCATCCTCGACCAGATACAGATGGAGCGTGACGGCGACGTCATCGACAAGCAGCTTATCAAGTCTTGCGTGTATATGCTCGAGGGCCTACACGAAGGCGAGATAGAGGCGGAGGACCAGCGACTGTACAACACGTCTTTTGAGGTGGAGTATCTGGACACCAGCAGAGCCTTTTACCGCGAAGAATCGGAGCTTTTACTACGCGACGCGCATGCCGGCGCATACTGCAAACATGCGCGACGCAGAATTTACGAAGAGGACGAGCGCTGCAAGCAAACACTGCTGGACACTACGGGACCCAAGATTCAGAAGGTTGTGGAGGAAGAGATGATCAAGTTCCGGATACACGAGCTTGTA